CTTGAAATTCTGTATGCCTTTTGGACCTGGGATCCTGCAATTTCAATTTGCTAGTTGTGTAGCTGGTTCTGGCCAGTGGTGACTCCACACCTCCCACCACACACGAAGGACTCTGTGGAAGTCATTCTGAGAAAACTTCTTTCCCTGTAAACCTGCCCAGAAAATCCCCGCGTCCTTGCCCCCAGCCTTGAGCAGTCAGAGGGCAGGGGAGAGCCCAGGAAGGGAAGGAAGAGAGTGGCAACACAAGTCAGAAGGGTCCCCACCAGCCCTTCCCTGCACGGAGTGCTTTTGAACTGATGCTCAGCTTTTGAACTGAGTCTTCAAAGCTCCGGGCTGCAAGAGAGAGGCCGGGCAGGTCAGGATGATGTTTGCTGGGGTCTTACAGGGAAGCCAGGACTAATCTGAGAGAGAGGGGGGGCCCCAGTGGGTCCCAGGAAACTCACACAATAACCAGAGATCTGGGTGCCGCCATCCACCCTGACTTGGCCAAGACTTCCCTCCCAAGGCCACACCCCACCCCACCCTGGGCCTCAATTTCCTTCCTGGTCTGATGAGACTGGTGGTGAGCCGTGCCCTGCCTCCCGACAAGAGTGCTGTGAGCTCAGAGTGGGTGGGTGCGTGGGAGACCATTGTACCCTGCAGGACCACACACCCAGGTCACATCCTTGGACTTACGTCTCCAGACTCTGTAGACAACACGGCCATGGGAGGCTGTGAGGTGGGGGGAGGACACAAGAGGCCCCAGGCTCCCCTCCCAGTGTTGTTACCATGACCATCCTAAGGATTCGTGTTAGGGTTGTTGTTTTGGTGACAGGATGGACCCCGGGGTCCTCAGTCAGTGCTGCTGCCACTGGCAAATTGCTTGGAAGAAAACTCTTTCAACGAGGTTGCCCAAGTTCTCACAGGGGACCATCAGGGCAGGATATCCCAGGAGAATGGAGAGGGTCATCTGTTTCAGGTACAGCAGGGCAGATCTCGCTGATGTCCTCCTCATAGCTTGGGTTTCACACATCACAGCATGGCGCCCACCAGCTCAGCTCCACCCACCATGCTTCCTGCCACCCATCAGGCCTCCCAGTCTCCACCCCCATCACCTACCTGCAATCCTAGCTTCTTAGACTTTTCCTTTGTCTGTTGGTATAAACAAGATGGGGCTTACCTGGAGGCTCAGACAGTAAAGAATCTGCCTGAAATGTGGGAGACCTGGGTTCAGTCCCTGGGTTGGGAAGATCCCCTGGAGAAGGGAATGGCAAACCACTCCAGTATTCTTGCCTGGAGAATTCCACGGACAAGGAGCCTGGTGGGCTACAGTCTATGAGATCGCAAAGAGTTGGACAGGGCTGAGCTACTTTCACTTCACTTTGATCAAGAAGGTAATTTCAGACAGGAAAGATACACCTAGAGAGGCAGTTTTTTTTTTGCAGGAGACATGATCAGTGGTTCTCAGCTGGTAATCAGAGGCCAGAAATGTGCCTTTAAAATCTACTAAATTCTTTTTGGAAATAAGAAATGTAGGTGACACCCGAGTCTGTTGGGCTTCTGTGAGTGGTGGGGCTGGGGAAATTGTGTTCTGATCAGCAATCTGTCCTTCTGCTCAGGAGTTGGTCCCTGCTCCATCACTTTACAAAGTGGACCTGACTGGAGCATCTGAAGGGGCAGTTTCTGCCTTCCCAGGAATCCATGTGCAAATGGATGGAACAAGGAAAACCCAGGATGGAGGAAGGGATAACCCAGGATGGAGGAAGGGATCACCCAGGTACCAGGGACCCGGAAGTACCACCGTGGGTGGAGGGGTGTGTGTGCCTATGTGAAGTGCCCTCTCTTGCTCCATCCTCCTGGAAGTCGGGCTCCAGATGGCTTGACCTGCCTCCTGTTTGCAGCACATGGGGGTCCTTCTTGGAATGATACTGTGTGTGGGTCTCATTGACTTTTCAGCTGGTCAGAGAACTGGTGGGTGTCCCCAGAGTCGGGGACACGGCAGCCTGGGGTTCAGTTCTCTTTCCCATGGAGGGTCTGGAGAGGAAGGAAGGGTGAGAGGAAAAAAGGAGGGAGACATGCAGGATCCTGGCTCATTCCTGAGTGAGTTGGGGGAAGGGTGCATGCGGATTTCTGAAGGACCAGATGTGGAGTCGGGGATAACTTGCCTGGAGATGGGGGTATGGTGGCTTTCCTGAGAAGACTTCAGCTCTGACAGGCTGTGAGCCCTAAACCAGGAAAGCTGGTTGCTGGCAGAAGGGATGGTTCACCACCAACACAGGAGGCGCAGCCTGAGGACCCAGACGCGGACCCTCCAAGGGATCCAGGGAGGATGGGGGAGGGAAATTCAGTTGGACATGTGAGCAAATGCCAAACCCAGAGGCAGAAAAGCACAGGACGGGTTTCAGGCTTACCTAATAGCCAGCAACCACGTGTTCTGCCAGTTGTTTCTACTGTGGACATTCCTCTTCCTCCACCGAGTTGGAAAAAGGATACAGCTTGACCAAGAGGCCACTGGGGCAGTACCTGGACTGTGAAACCAGGTTGCACAGAGGCCCACCTCTCCTTCCTTCTCCAAGGCTGATGTGTAACCAGCACATTCAAACCCAGCTGAGGGGCTTTGGCCAAGTCCCCAAGAGTCCCATAAGGCAACTGAATCCAGGAAATATTACAGGCCTCACAGTCACAAGACCAGGTCAAAGGCGAGACGGATGAGAATTTGCTTCATCGCTTTCAGACACCTTCATGATTTTGGTTCATTATGTTTCCCAGCTGTGCTCCCCAGCCCCGGCCTCCCCATCCTGCTTTCTCAGCCAGAGCACTGGACAGGAAGACACTGAGGTCCAATCAGAAGGGCTGTCCTGCAGGCCGTGTGGGTGACGAGGACGAGATGTTGGGTCTCGCTGGAGGTTGGGGAAGGCTTCCCAAGGTGGAGGTCAGGGCATACAGAGGGATCAGAGGCAGAGATGGGAGGAGATCAGGAGGCTCAGAGGGGCCTGAGTGGTTGAGATGTAAGGGGCAGCCTGACAGCTGAGGCCCGCGGGGCTGGGAGTGAGGAACACTGAAACAACAGCCTTGGCCCTGATGCCTGGAGCGGGGAGTGTGGGCGCCTGAAGACAGTACTTGAAAAGGTCAAACTGGTGTGTGCTGAAACTCCCAGAAAATGGTGTGGGGAGTGGACAGTGGTCAGAACGAGCCAGGAAATCAGGGAAGGTGGAGTGTGAAGGTTGTGGCTACCCTGAGAGGAGAAAGATGGAGGTAGGCCCAGGGCAGGGGTGGTGGGAGGTCAGGGAAGAAGATGGAGCAGGTGGGTTTCCCAGGGATCCAGTCCAGGGCTCCTGGGGCAGCACCCCAGCCAACAGCCCAGTGCAGACAACCAGGGCGTTCACGGGTGTCTTGAACCCAGAGACAGAGCAGTGATGCGTGTTCGGGAGAACTGGTGTCTTGAGAAGGGCCGTTCCCAGGAACGTGTGAGGACTGGGAGAAGAAGCAGCCTGGGTGGACCTGACCAGTCTTTCTTCTGAAGAGGAGAGTCCTTGGAGGAGACTCAGCAGGAGCCCCCAGGGAGGAGGAGGGGACCCAGGAGAGCAGGGACAGGGGAGAATTGGTCAGGGGCAAGTTCAGGAGGACTGAGGGTCCCCAGAGTCTGTGGAGATGAAGACACAGCTTGAATGTGAATATGGATCCATTGAGTACTGGGCAGCCTGCAGTGGCCTTGAGTGTAGAGAGGGCCCTGAATTGGGGTCACAATGCAGATGACCCTTCCCCTGCCTGATTCAGGAGGGATCAGGGGAACAGGCCATGTCTTGGTGGGGAGTTGCTGTGCAGGAGAACTTTTTCAGTGAGAAAATAGTGGAGATGAATCTAGGAGAGGGCACCAAGGGAGCCAAGCCCTGACTGGCTGAGGTCTCCTCCCAGAGGACAGGATGGTGTGGGCTTGATGTGTGCCTAGGGATGGCCTGGAAATGTAATTCTGTAGCAGGAGTTGGTGGTCTTCCCATTCTTCAAGTGTTAACTGAGTGCCTATTTGGTGCCAGACAGGGCCAAGAGCTGGCGATTGAGACGTGAATACACTGCTTTACTCTGCATCCTGAGGGGCCCATGGTATAAAGTCAGAGGGATGCAGACAGTGGCTGGCTCCTCCCTCACCTGGAGGACACGATGCTCTTGAGTAAACCTGCCTGTGACACTTCCCATGGGGTCGAGGAGAGGCCAACGCACTGTCAGGAGATGGAGAAATCATTTCTTCACCTTGCACAGGGTCCTCCCTTCCCACTGCTCAGCAGTCCTGTGAAGCCACAGCAGGGTCTGAGGCAAGTCCTTCTCACAGGCTGGGAGGAGGGCAGGGATGGGGCGGGTGAGGAAGACTCCTGGTTGAGTGATTGCATCAGGCCCTGGCTAAGCATAAAAGGAGGGTCCCTCAGGCTGGGAGGATGAGAACTGGGGACCATGGAGACCCAGGGAGCCAGCCTCACCCTGGGGCGCTGGTCACCGTGGCTACTGCTGCTGGGACTGGTGCTGCCCTCGGCCAGTGCCCAGGCCCTCAGCTACAGGGAGGCTGTGCTTCGTGCTGTGGATCAGTTCAACGAGCGGTCCTCAGAAGCTAACCTCTACCGCCTCCTGGAGCTAGACGCTACACCCAATGATGTGAGTTATGAAGGGATCTGGGGAGGGGGCCAGCTAGTTGGGGGGCAGAGAGACAGATCAGAGGAAGAAGAATGAGCCCAAACCCAGTTTCCCCTACTTTGGCCCATGACCAGGAGGTTGACCCAGGCACCAGAAAGCCAGTGAGCTTCAGGGTGAAGGAGACCGTGTGTCCCAAGACGGCCCAGCAGCCCCTGGAGCAGTGTGACTTCAAGGAGAATGGGGTGAGGTTGGGAGTTGGGGAGGGGAATGGCAAATGCCTCTCAGGGGTTGGACAGTAGGGTTGGGGACGATTTCCAACTCCTGGGAGGAGGCCGGGAGGTTATGGCCACAGGGGTTCCAGTTTGACCTTGAACCTCCCCTTCCAGCTGGTGAAACAGTGTGTGGGGACAGTCACCCTGGACCCATCAAATGACCAATTTGACATAGACTGTAATGAGGTGAGTGGCCCCTTCTGGACTGTGGGGTTTCTGGAGGGGCTAAGTATGTGGAACATCCTTTGGACCAATGACCGGCTGCCCCATCGAGGGCAGAGAAAGGCCCTCCTGCCCGGGCCCACCCTCCCTGAGCCCCAGGTCTCCAGCCTGGCTGTGCGTCCCTTAAAGCAGTGGCTGTCTCATGGGGTCCCCAGCTGGCAACTGACAGGAAGGCAGATTCTCGGCAGCACTCAACCCAATCGAATCTGACTCTGGGGCAAGGTCCAGCCATTTGTATTTTCACAAGGCCTGTAGGGGACTCTGACTGTGCAGAAGCTGGAGAGGCACTGACTCAGTGATGATCTTCATGCCTTTCTTTGCTGGGATGGGTTTGTGACCCTGGGAAGCCCCTTATCATCTGTGGGCCTTAGTTTCATCTCTGTCTGTGGTATGGAGATTTAAGCATAGGCTCCAAGTGTCACAGCCAGAAGGTGATCTGGGTCCCCAAGGTCCCTGGAGTCCACTAGGAATGGGGGGCAGGTGTGGAGGGAGGGGTCTTGTCTTGACCTTCACCTGATTCTCACAAGAAACCTGTTTTTATTGATTCACAGCTTCAGAGTGTCAGATTTCGTCCACCAATCCTACGTCCACCAGTCCGTCCACCGTTCCGCCCACCGTTCCGCCCACCATTCCGCCCACCGTTCCGTCCACCCATAAGACCATTTCCTGGTAGAGGGTGACCAATAGGCAGATAACTCCCTGACAAGGGCTTCTGATGAATCAGAAGGCCAGGGAAGACCTCTTGGGATCTCTTTTGCCTTGAGTCAGCATCCAAAAAATAAAATCTTGTAAAAACAACTTCCTCCAGTTTTCAATTTTAATTGTCTCCCCTCTTCCAACTTACCATGACCTTTAGGAGTGTCTTTGTGTGTGTGTGTGTATGTGTGTGTGATCACTCCTGTGAACACAGAGAAGTGTGAGGCCCGTGTTCCTTCCAGAAGGGCAAGGGGGAGGCAGCAGCCCCAGGAGCTCCAGGACAGCGTCTCCACCCTCGGTCCCTCCCGGGCCCTCCACCCGCCCTTGCCCTCCTCCTGCGACACCCAGTAGGACGTACAGAGACCTGCTGTGTGTGCAGTGCTGGTGGGGCTGCTTCTCCTGCTCACGTGGAGCTGACAGTCCACGAGGGGTCAGGCTGCTCACCTTGCTAAACACTCACAGAGATGCAGTTCAGTCTCAGGGTGAAGCCTGCATGTACCATGCCCAGAACATTCCTCTTCCCCATGACAGTCTTAAGTCTGGAAAGTCCACGCCTCCTGACTTTCCTGTGGCATCAGACACAACACTGTCTTTCTAGTTGGCTCCCACATTTTAGTGATGGGTCTATATGATGGAATCCAGTGATATTAAACTCTCATTAAAAAGAAGCATTCTGCTCATCGGGGCGATGAGCTGAACACTGTGGGAGACGCGGAAAGTGACACACAGGTCACATCTCTCTTTCCCCGGGTGTTCAGACACTGTCCATGTCCTGCCCACTCCCCATGCTCTAGCTGACCTTTGCTGTGGGGCAGACTGGAAGCACTAGGAAGTTTGTATTCTGGTAGCAGCTTCAACCAACCATTGGAGGGACTTGGGGGAAAAACACCTCCTCTTCCTCCCTCTTGGGGTGGCCCACTCCCAGATATGTATACCCCTGTGTGAGGTCCCCACCGGGATTTAGCCCCAACCACCCCCATCAGTGACCTCTTCATTGAGCCCTCCTCTCTGACTCATGTCCTGCCCTGTCTCTCCTGTCCACACTTCTGCTGGCTTTTTCTGGAATCTCCTTGCAAGGAAACTCCTTCCACCAAAGGCTTGTCTTAGGTTCCCTGCTGGGTCCCCCTGAACAAGACACAGATTGCCTTCTCTGAGAAGGACAGAGGACACGATCTCCCAGAGCCTTTACTCTGCTACCTGTCAGGCTGGGCTCGTCTTGGTGAGCAGGTGGGGCTGATTTCAGGCAGGTTAGAGGAACCTCACGCTTCTCACTCTAGGGAACCTGGCCTGTGGTGGCAGTGGAACCGTGCAGTCCGTCCACTCGTTCCATATGTGTCAGGTGCGGGGCCTGATGTGGAGACAAGAGAGAAGGGCCTGAGGGGTCCAGGGTGGTGGTGCGGGAGGGGGCGTCCTGGGGACAGTGCTGAAAGCCAAAGGGCACTGAAGGTTTCACAAAGTGGTGAGAGTGGACAGGAGGTCAAGTGGCCCAGGGAGATGACTCCTCCCTGGAGTGTTTCTCAGTGTTTGTGTACGTGTAAGGTCACTCCCTTCAGGGCAGGGGGCAGCTTCCTTGGTTGGGGGCACTGAAATCAAAGAGAGTGGAGGAGATCAAGAGATCAGGAAGAGGGGAGCCAATCAGCATGGGCCAGAAGGGGCTTCTCCATCCCCCAGACCCGTGCTGTGTCAAGGAGGCACACTGCGCCATTACTAGGCAAGGACCTTGTGGATCTTGATTGTATCCATCCTTGCATGAATGAAGTTGTAAGATAAAACATGCAGCCCCTGTTCTCCCATGTGCTACTCTGCCTCTCTGTCATCCCCAGCTGGAGCAAGGTAGGACGCTGTCAGGGGAGGCAGGGAGCTACATTGCCTCTTTCATGGCCCCTAGGCACCTTCAACTGTGTGGACTCATTCATCCTCAAAAATCTATCTAATGGTATATTTTTCAACTCAGTTCAGTTCAGTTCATTTGCTCAGTCGTGTGTGACTCTGTCTGATGTTCAGAGCCTCAAGGAGCAACACCCCTATCACGGGAAGTGTGAAAAATGAAAATCTTAACAAAATGACTCTTCCCTGGAAAAGAGGAAAGCAGGGCACTTGGAGGGAAACACCTAGAGGCAAAGGTGGCCGATCACATTCCAGATGCAGCTCTCTCAGACATGGGGTCGTGTCAGAGCTCCCTGGGGGCTTTGGTCCACCAAGGTCCTGAAGATGCCTGGTCCTTCATGGGTGGATGTGCTAGGTTAAAGGAGGATGCGTGGGCTGTGCCGCTGATGCTGCTCAGCCTCAAAGACATCTTTTGACACCTGTGCCTGAACAAGGACCCTTGTTCAAGAAACCTTCCCAAATTTACCTGGTTGTGTTTCTCACTGTCTCACGGGCAGTACACCAGAGCCTGGCAGTGTGATCCGGTGCTGCCTATGAAATTGGATGGTCAAGCCTCAGTCTTTGAGGGTATCAAACCTTGTTGCAATAGAATGCTCTGTGCTCACTACCTCTTTTATGACTACTCACACTGATATGCAAGAAAAATGACCATTCACAGGCCATGTTATAGGAATCAACAAATGAATTAAACCTGCGCTGGCTAGGTAGGGTCTCTAGGCATGTGGATACACCATCACATGGGACATGGTGATCCATTTTAATTCACCATTAGACCTCAAAATATTGACAAAGCCTAGTGATGCCAGCACATGAGGCCAAGGAAGCCTGGCCAAAGTGGTGACTGCCACCCTCATGAATGAGTGACAAAAGGAATTCCAGGGCGATAACAGGGGTGCCATCCCTGTTCACACAGCATACATGGGATATGATATTCAAAGACTCTCAGATGGTCTGTGTTTCATATCTGGATTCACAGAACACATCTGATCTGCAACAGCATTGTCTAATAGTAAGAAGCTGGGTGTGAACAGATACCCAGATGACTCTCAGGACCTTCAATGCCCCCAATCTCATCTCTGAGTAGTCAGTAACACTGGAAGATGAAATGGACTCTGAGAGGAAACACTGAAAGGATAACTATACACCCAAGGCTCACCTCCCAGTGGAGCACACACTTACAAAAGGCAACTTGAATTCTAAATGAGCTGATTCCCTGGGAGGCTATCTTCTAGTTAAGTAGAATGTTTACTTTTGAGGCTTGGAAATGAGGGGAGAAGCCCATACTGATGGAAGACTCTCAAACCACATGAGTAATCTTTCTCACCCCACTTATCTTTTTCCCAGGCACCTCTGGCAGCTCCTAGTATCGGAATTTGCAAGCTGCAAAGAAGACGCATGTGGGGGGGACTCTACCCTTGTGCTCATTGCACTGCCAGCTCTGCTGCTGGAAGAATACTGATGACAATGATCATGAATATGAGGTGGAAACTCCTAAGGTGATCCTACTGGTGTCTCAGGGCCTAGGGAGCTGTTCTATGATGGGTCATGGCATAAAAGGATGAAGCTGCTGAGCACGTACGTAGGGAGGAGTCTGGGCACATGGTCTAAGACAAGGGGAGGACTGAGGACAGAAGCGGTGAATGCTGAGGGACTGGGTGTTCAGATCACTTGGTTGTGAAGAAAGTAACTACCCTGATGATGGGAATAGCAGGCCTCCGACTCAGAGAGTCTAGGGCGGGAAGATGCACCATTCATTGCTCTCTCAGCGTTTGTCTACAGGGCATCTGGGCACTTTCACCCAGACTCTACCTGATCAACAGCCAATGAAGAGTCTTTTTCTAAAACTTATTTATTCATTTGAGTCTTCATTGCTGTGCTTGGGCATTCTCTAGCTGCGGCGAGGGGGGTTACTCTTCATTGCAGTGCACAGGCTTCTCATCTCGGTGGCTTCTGTTGTTGCAGAGTATGAGCTCTAGAAGTTGGGCTCAGTACCGTACAGGCTTACGGTGGGCTGGCATGGAGGCTTAGTTGCCCCACGGCATGTGGAATCTTCCCAGACCAGGGATCGAACCCATGTCCCGTGTATTGGCAGGCAGATTCTTAACCGCTAGACCACCAGGGAAGTCCTGAAGAGGCTTAATCTAAGGGCTCTTCTTACCTTTCCAACAACTGCCACCTCCAGGAGTAGACAGCCTCCACCAAACATGCCATAACAAGGTTGACCTTCTAGATACTGATAAGATTTTCATAAGTCTCATCATGAAATTTTGAACTCTTTTACATGTGTTGCCCAGAATATGGTAGCTCTTCTAAGCTTAAAGACTTGGCAGATTCCATAACAAGAGCAACACTTCTTGCTGATCTTGCTGCTGCTAAGTATG